ATAAAGGTTTGTACTGGCCCCTAATATATTTGTATAAAGTTATCTTATCCCCTCTCAGGCTCCGTTTTTTCCAAACTAAACAGATTTTATTTGTTTAACCTTTCTTCATAACTAAAATGCTCCATTCCTTTTATCAATTTTGTAGCTCGTCTCTGGACTTTTTCTAGTGCCATGATATTTTTCTTTAGAACAGGCGCCCAAAATTGCACAGCATATTCAAGGTGTGGTCTTACCAGCGATTTATAAAGAGGCAAAATTATATTTTCATCACGGGAAATTATGCCCCTGTTTATACATGACAAAACCTTACTGGCCTTAGTAACTGCAGATTGACATTGCATATTGCTGCCTAATTTGTTGTCTATAACAATTCCCAAATCCTTCTCGTGTGTGGTTATCCCTAATTCACTACCATTTAGTGTGTAAGTTGCTTGTGCATTCTTAACCCCGAAGTACATAACTTTGCATTTCTCTACGTTAAATTTCATCTGCCATTTTAATGTCCAGTCCCCCAATCTATCCAAACCCATCTGCAGGAAAGCAATATCCTGCTCGCATTTTATTACTTTACAAAGTTTTGTGTCATCTGCAAACACTGATACATGGCTTTCAATGCCTATTTCAAGATCATTTATAAATATGTTAAATAGAAGTGGTCCCAAAACAGAACCCTGAGGGACACCACTTACCACTTTTGTCCAGCCTGAAAATGTACCATTAATTACAAATCGTTGTACTCTATCCTTAAGCCAATGTTCTACCCAAGAACAAGAACTTTCATCTAGACCAATTTCTTTTAGTTTGAAGACTAACCTATTGTGAGGAACTGTATCAAATGCCTTGGCAAAATCCAAGTAGATCACATCCACTGCAACACCCTGATCTATACTTCTACTTACTTCTTCGTAGAATGCAATTAGCTGAGTTTGACATGACCTATGTCTCATAAAACCATGCTGATTATTGCTAATAACAAAGTTCTTCCCAATGAATTCCTGAATATTATCCCTTAATAGCCCTTCAAATATTTTCCCAGTTACAGAAGTTAAGCTCACAGGTCTGTAATTTCCAGGCAAGGATTTTGAACCCTTTTTAAATATAGGAACAACATCTGCCTTCCTCCAATCCTCTGGTATAACACCTGAAACAAAATCTTTAAAAATTAAATACAGAGGTTCACTTATTTCCCCACTTAGCTCCTTAAGTACTCGTGGGTGAATACCGTCAGGCCCCGGAGCTTTACTTACAGTAATTTTCTTCAATAGCTGTAGCACCTTGTCTCGAGTTATCCAATCACAAGTTATCTGCAAGTTTTTTGCAATAATCATTTGCATATCTCTTGCCATAGGATCCTCATTAATATATACTGAAGAAAAATAGTTATTTAAAATGTCTTTTTCCTGGTCTTCATTAGCTAATAAACCCAACCCTGTTTCCAGTGTACCTACACTTTCATTTTTTGTTTTTTTAGAATTGATGTACTTTAAAAATTTTTGGGGTTGGTTTTGCATTCTTTAGCTATCAATTTCTCATTTTCTAGTTTAGCCATTTTAATTGCCTTTTTGCAAGTGTTATTGGCTTCCTTATATCTTAAATAGGATGCCTCTGATTTGTCTGATTTAAATGCTTTATATGCCCTTTTCTTATTTTTAATCTCTTGTTTTACTTCTCTACTAAGCCATATTGGTTTTAATTTGTTTCTTTTATATTTATTACCCAATGGTACATACTGAGAAATGTACCTTTCTAATATTTGTTTGAATAGTTTCCATTTATCCTCAGTGTTTTTATCACTAAGGAGTTTATGCCAGTCGATATGTTGTAGAGCTGCCCTAATCTTATTGAAATTGGCTTTTTTTAAATTATATGTTTTAGTATACCCCACTTGCTTTTGCTTTTTTGAGTTTATTTAAAAATTTACCATATTGTGATCACTATTCCCAAAATACTCCCCTACTTGAATGTTGGTTAAACGATCAACATTGTTTGTTATAACGAGATCCAGACAAGCATCCTTTATAGTTGGTGCTTGTACCAGTTGTGACATAGAGGTGTCATTTAACACATTCAAAAACCTGATTCCCCTTGCTGAAGTACTAGTCCCTCTATCCCAGTTCATGTCTGGGTAATTAAAATCTCCAATAATTAACGTGTTACCTCGATTTGCATCTTTCTCAATTTGCTCTAACAGCTGTTCTTCCTCAATAATATTTACATTAGGTGGTTTATAACATATCTCAATCAATAATTGATTTCCCTTTGTTTGCCCCAAGCAGATATCTACCCATAAGGCCTCCACATTTTCCTCGTCACACTCCACATGCCTAAGATTTGACTTTAACTCATGGTTGACATATAAACATACCCCATCACCCTTCTTGTTTTTCCTATCCTTCCTAAATAACGTGTACCCATTTAAATTAACTGCCCAGTCATGTGTCTCAACCCACCATGTTTCTGTTATGACTATTATATCATATTGTTTAGTGTATGCTATTGCCTCTTGTTCCCCCATTTTGTTATATCGGCTTCTTGCATTAGTAAGCATACATTTAATATTATCATGAGTCTTTTGTACTTTTTGTGAATTATTAATATTACATACCTCCTCTATTCTGAGCTTTCCCCTCCCCCATTTCCTCCCCCTTTGTTCTGAGCTAACGCCCATCTCCTTTCCATCCTATCTCCATTTTCTAGATTGCTTTGACCCTCCCCCCACCACTAGTTTAAAATCTCCTCCAACCTTCTAGCCATCCTATCCCCCAGCACAGCAGACTCTCTTCCGTTTAGGGGAAATCCATCATGACTATACAGGTTGTACCCAAGCGTAAAATCGGCCCAGTGCTCTAAAAACCCAAAACCCTCTTTCCTGCACCAAGACTTTAGCCACGCATTGACCTCTCTAATCTTCCGCTGCCTTTCTGCTGTAGCGCGCGGCACAGGTAATATTTCTGAAAAAAATTACCTTGGAGGTCCTTTTCTTTAGCTTACTTCCTAGTTCCCTGAACTCATTCTTTAGGACCTTCCATTTTCCTCTTACTTTGTCATTGGTACCAATATGGACCATGACAGCTGGGTCATCTCCAGCCCCTCCCAATAATCCTTCGACTCTGTCGGCAACATGCCAGACCCGAGCACCCGGGAGACAGCAAACTGTCCGGTTGAGTCGATCAGAGTGGCAGATTACCCTACCTACTCTCTTAATAATAGAGTCCCCTGCCACCACAACCTGTCTAGACTTCCTTACCCTCTCAACCACACCCGTACTAGAGGGGCTGTTCCCACGGCTGTTAGAAGGAACAGCTTCCTGCAGTACAGCTGCTCCTGAGCTGATGCGCCTGCTACTTGTGCACTGCTGAAGCTGGTCTGAGATTTGTTAGGGAGGGAGGGAGGGGGAGGCAGGCATGCTCAAGTCAAGTAGAGCATGCCTGCCACTTCCGTTAGCTCAGGGGAGCTAACGGAAGTAGGAAGGAATCCTCCCTGGCTGTTTGACTGACAGCCGGGGCTCCCCAGTTAATTTATAAAAGCGCTGATTTCTCATAGAAATCAGCGCTTTTATAAACTGGGGTTAAATGAGGATACTCCTCACCCATAAAGCACTTCAGCAAGCTGAATTGCTTTTGGGGTATGGAGTGGTCCTTTAAACTAGATTGGGGAAGCCCAATATTCAGAATCAACTTGTAGATCGTGGCAAGTATTTGAAACTTTATCGGAAATTGCCCCCGCAATTTTTTCTCTTTGATATTTCGGAGCAATTGGAGAGAAGAAGCCAGCTAACCTCTTTGCTGTCTTTTTTCCTTTCTAGACACATGATTTTTAGTCGCTATTATAGGGCAATTTGTACTTGCATAAAAATTCAGAAATTGGCAAATATATGATAGGTTTACAAGAACACTCCAAATGGTTATTTTAACCCGACAACGCCGTTATGGTGTTCTATGCCGACCTGCATTTACTAGGCTTTAAAGCAGCGTTGGCATAGGATGCCATAGCAGCTTTCAGCCCTGGGAGCCAGCAGGTACTCACCTCCTCAAAAACAAACAGTATTATGACATTCACAGTTAAAATGCCAAAACGAAAAGAATAACACATTGTTATAATTTCTCACTCTTTTTTTAGATTTTATTAATATAAATTTATGTTTCATATACAAATATTTGCTGTAAAATGAAAGCCTTTTTTCTCCTACACAAAATGATATATAATAAGTGTGGGTGCACTTAATATGAAAGAGGTAAATTATGGTTGAACAGACATATAGTCAAATTCCAGGTTTTGTTTACATTTTGTGTTGCTCAAAACGTATACAATTGCCTCTGCCTTTAAGGGGTTAAAATAATCAGTTTGATGATTTGTTTTAGAGATTGATACTTTATTGTAGATAAATAACAATATAACTGAAAAACTTAAAATGCCATTATATATTATATATTATATACTCGAGTATAAGCCGAGTTTAAGTTTTGTGACACCCGCGGCCTTCAGACCGCGAGACTTACCCTGTGAGCTGAACGAGGGAGCTGCACGGAGCTGACAGGGAGCTGACCGGAGCTGCTACAAAGGTAAATAACAGCTTGCTCTGGCCCCCCCACTGCACAGCCCATGCCACTGGACCACTAGGGAATAAAATAGCCCACCCCCCTCCCTGGTCAGGCAACAGGCAGGGAGGAGGGACAAATAAATAATAATATTAAATTATTAAAATAATAAAAATATTAAAATAAAATAAAAAATATGAAAATAACAATATTAAAATAAAATTTAAAAATTTAAATAATAAACATGCCCTCCCCCAACCAGTTTACACACACACACACACACTACATTCACACAAACACAGACTGCATTATATACACATACACACTCTGCATTATATACACACAGAGTGTGTGTATATAATGCAGAGTGTGTGTTTGTATGAGTGTGTGCATATAATGCAGAGTGTGTGTGTGTATATAATGCAAAGTGCGTGTTTGTATGAGTGTGTGTGTATGTAATGCAGAGTGTGTGTGTATATAATGCAGAGTGTGTGTATATAATGCACACACTCTGCATTATATACACACACACTCTTACAAACACACACTCTGCATTATATACATACACTGCTTTATTATATACACACACACTGCATTCATTATATACACACACTACACACACACACTGCATTAATTATATACACACACTACACAAACACACACACACACACTGCATTCATTATATACACACACTACACAAACACACACACACTGCATTCATTAAATACACACACTGTAAATAAATATTCGATTAATGTAATTTTATTGGGATCTAATTTTATTTAGAAATTTACCAGTAGCTGCTTCATTTCCCACCCTAGGCTTATACTCGAGTCAATAATTTTTCCTGTTTTTTGTGCTAAAATTAAGGGCCTCGGCTTATATTAGGGTCAACTTATACTCGAGTATATGCGGTATTTACATTTCTAGATAATACTTTTACTAACTGATATACTAGAGTTCCTAAGTTTTATTACATAACTTAGGGAAAACTATTCAATATCATTCCTTTCCATGGAAAAACCCCAAAGAGAAATATATACGGTAGTTCTCAAGATACCATATGGTTTCCAAGGAATCAAACAAGATTTTGAAGAAATTATTACCTTTCAACACATATAAATTAATTCTTTAATATATATTTAACGGAATTAACAAGTATGCAATGAAAATAGATGATTCTTAGGAATAAATAAAGGTAGGGAAAGAGATATATAAGGGCTGCGCCTAAAGTCCCGTAACGTATATATAGAATACTAGTAGATCGTCAGGGATACTGGATAAGGTTTCTTGGTGGAGGTAAGTGCGTCTGGTGTTGACCTTCAGTATATGAAAATACAAAAGAGATAGAGGCAACCAATGGTGCAGTATGTAAAATTCAAGGTGCGGTAGGTAACAAAAGTAGAGAACTCACATTCAGGAGAGCTATGGCCAGCTCTGGTGTGAATCACGAACAGCGGTATAATCCCCCCTTATGGGATATGTAGGAGAGGGCTCTCCGTCAGCACCGTCTGGTAATCCAAAGCTCGGGAGAAGAGATAGAAGCAACAATAGTGCTCTCAATTGTGATATAGTTGAATGTTCAATAGATAGAAAAAGGAACTCACATTTGAGGGAGCTATGGCCAGCTCCGTTGTGGATAGCGTACAGCGGTATAATCCCCGCTTATGGGATATGTGGTGGTAGCACGTCCGTCAGCACCGTCTGGTGGTCCAAAGCTCCAAGAGAGAAGGATAAAAAGCCGCAATAGTGCTCTCAATTGTGATGGGATACAGGAGTAAAAAACAAAAAGAATAATACTCACAAAGATAGAGCAGAGGTACTGCTCTATGAATGGGCGTTGGTGGTATGATCCCCACCTGGGATTTCTTGGAGTACTGGAACAGTAAAATTGCCAGTGGAAGTAGAAGTAGCAGGAACGTTAAAATGCCAGGAATAAGTACAAAAGTATAAAGTGCATAGAGAGTGCAATAAAAAGAGGATTGGTACAGTAAGGTAACCAAAAAACTTTTATTGTTCTAAAATACACAATAAAATATAAAAGTAATAAACCATAAACGCGTTTCACCATAAGTGGCTTCTTCAGAATGGGATTCATTTTATCCCATTCTGAAGAAGCCACTTATGGTGAAACGCGTTTGGAGGAGTTGAAACAGAAACATTGTTGCTTGTCGTACAGCTCATTGTAGTGGTTATGGTATGAATAATCTTTAGACATTTTCCCTTTCTGTTTTTTTCAAGCTGATTTGTGAAGAAGCAGGACTCTCTTAACACATACAGTTGTGGCCTGGTAAATGCAGAAATGTAAAATTGCACAAGTTTGTATTCTGCGTACACTGATCAGCCACAAACAGGTGAAGTGAATAAAATTGATTATATTGTTACAATGATACCTGTCAGGGGGTGCGATATATTAGACAGCAAGTGAACAGTCAGGATTTGATGTGTCTGGAGCAGAAAAAATGAGCAAGCAAAAATAGCTTAGTGATTTTGACAAGGAACAAATAATGACTGTGTCAAAAGATCTCCGAAACAACAAGACTTGTGGGGTGATTCTGCTCTGTAGTGATTTGTACCTACCAAATGTGGTGCAAGGAAGGACATCCGGTGAACAGTTGTCAGACACGTGGTAGCTCAAGGCTTATTGATGCACATGGGGAGCAAAGGCTTGCCTGTCTGGCCCAATCACACAGAAGAGCTACCGTAGCTCAAATTGCAGAAAAACTTGGAAAGCACTGTAGCCACAGACTGGTCAGATTGCCCTTGGCCTCTAAATCCGATTGAGCATCTGTGGGATGTGCTGGAACAACAAATCCAATCCATGGAGGCCTCATCTCGCACATTATAGGACTTAAAGGATTTGCTGTAGTAGTTATGGTATCAAGAGTGCCCTGATGCAAGTTGAGACTATGGCACTGTATAATGGAATGCATACTGAGAAGGTGAGAGTATGTTGAAATACATTACTGGTTGCCAGAACTTTGAAGTTGAAACACATATCAAGGACAGGTTAGCATCACTAGGGATAGGGCTCCCTTAACAATGGTTGTTTTGAGTGCTAGCAATGCCACATACATGGACTAATGCAGGGGTTCTCAACGTTAGTCCTCAGGACCCCCTACCAGTCCAGGGTTTAGGGATTACCTGGGTGTGTCTAAGGTGTTTAGAAACAAAAACCACCTTAGAGTCTAAGGTGTTTTTTCCCCTTTTTCTAAACACCTGAGACACACCCAGGTAATCCGCAAATCCTGGACTGGTAGGGGGTGCTGAGGACTGGGTTGAGAACCCCTGGACCAATGACAGGTGGGAACCAGGTACACCAGGTGAATAGCAGCCTTGACACTAATATTTGGAAATATTGTAACGGTATGGTTGAGAAATAATCAGGTCTAAATTACATTAGAACCATGACTGCCTCGATATACTGTATCTTTTTCTGACCAAAATTATGTGTAATATGTGAGCATGCTATGTGTGAACAATAGTGTTATGTTATCAGTCCTAGGGGGTGGTTAGCAAACCAACTGTTACTTCTTCGACATTCTTTGTCAAGGGAAATGGAATCCAGGGGACATATATATGATAAAATGTATCCAGAGAAGTTACAATCATGTAGATAAGCGAGAACTGTGTAGAACTGTGTAGATTACACAGACCTTTATTCAGTCCTCTAATTCTCTCATTTTGCATACATTTGTTTCCATTTATTGTTCTTTACTGTAGTTATCTCCATGTTTTTGTTTTTCTTAAGAGAATTTAGAGAATGTGCTGTCCACATCTGACCTTTATTATTTTGATACTGGATTTTCACATATTTGTCAGTGGCCCACAAACACAAATTCCTCCTTTTCAAGAAAAATGTTTGTTGAAAAAGGTCAGTTTAAACGCCAAGGTTTTAAAGGGCCTTAACAAATAAAATGTGGTTGGCCCATTTGTAACACAAGGAATGATGTTACTATGTTCTAAACACTAATAATAAATCATGTATATTTTACATGTACAGATTTTTTTTTGGATTTTTTTTTACCAAAATGAGAATTGTTGGCAATTTATAGTGAATTGAAAGTGAAATTCAAATTTCAAGCTAAAGTAGCGGAACTGGAAGCACAGCTGATTTGGAGAATCTTTCCAGTTCAGATACTTTTTCCTTAAATTTAAAATTCACTTTGAATTTCCAAAGATTCGCATTTTAGTCAAGAACCCTGTACAAAAACCATTCTCTCTCTCTCTCTCTCTCTTTCTATATATATATATATATATATATATATATATATAGAGAGAGAGAGAGAGATAAAGGTAGATAGCACTCCACAGACTTAATCTTCAAATAAAAATTAACTTTTAATGCTCCAAGTTAAAAATCAACGTTTCAGTCTGGACAATCAGACTTTCATCAGGACAAGGTTAGCCAGTAATACAAGTATACATATATACTGCACCAATAAACACTAATCAAACAGTGTACTCACCCCACCTGGTTAAAGGCACATCTCCACAAGCCGTCCGGTCAATTGCCCCGCCAAAACTGCCGGTCGCATTTGGATGACGTCATCGCGCATGCGTCAATCACGCATGCGTCAACTCCGTACCCGGCGATACAGATGGCGTCTCCATGGCAACCAGGCGCTACCATGGCTTAGCGGGCACGGACCGAAGCCATCAGAGTCTGCCTCCAACATGTACATAGTGTGGTTCTATGCACCCACTGTGAAAAACAGAATAACAAGAAATACAATAAACATAGATAATTATAAATTGAAAATTAAAAGCAGATACCTATGCTAGGGAACAACCATACTGCCTAGTCTTATAAGTCCTAGGAGGTGCTACTCACTCTGGGAACCCCACCGTACCTTAAATAATGCAAATAGTGATGCTTGCTAGAGAATGGATTGCCACACTGCATTACCATAAGTATATATATTCACAAATCCATTTAAGATTAGGTAATAAGAGGATCTAAAACCCTATATTATACTATCAAGCTGGTCACATTGCTGAAAAGCTGAATATCCTTATTTACATATGTACATAACCATATTGTCTCAAACTAGATCCCAATGATCTACTAAGTCTCTTATGCACCTAGTGCCATCTGATATCTACTGTTCCTTTACCTGAACCAGTTATAGTATATAGAGACAATAAATTGTACCAATAGTGTACAATGTTCCCAGGTTATTCTGAAGTCCCCACCTTATACCTAAACTCAAGTCACTCCGTCCCAACCATCGCAAGTCTAGAGAGGTTCATATCCTCTAAATCGGTCCTCAATCAACCTGCTCCCATAAAAGGAAATACTATACTCCAACACAATTAAATAGCCATAAAAAAAGGCCAGTCCTCTTAATTTCCAACTCACTGGGTGAAGAGTGGGACACTCCTTACATTATTGAAAAAAGCATAAGAGTAAAAAAGTAAAAAAGTAAATCCCAGACTAGACTGGCTTCAATTACTCCTCCGTCCTCTTAGTACTGGACACTCATAGCATATCCCGCAGGGTGAGCTCATGAGTTTATTCAGGACTGTTCTGGAGTCATTGTACTGAAGCCTGAAACACCGGGTATCTTGTTATAAAAATACTGCAAGAGAATATTTCTCATTCAGTCCCTTTGGTGCTATCGTTTCCAGAGTTCTGATCCAATGGATTTCTCTTTGAAGGAGCATTTTCTTCCGATCATATGGTCCCAGGGCGGACGTTTTCACATCCCCACACTGGTAAACAATACACCATTAAACATCGATTGACCTGCACTAGTGACTTTGTCATATATAAATTGACATGTCCCTGTGGCCTTGTGTACATAGGAAAAACTGACCTGCCTCTAAGAGAACGGATTCGAAATCACCGCTCGAATATCCGAGTTGCATACCGTGATGGTGTCTCGGAGTTACCGGTGGCTAGACATTTTCTGGAAATAGGACATACCCTCCCATCACTTAAACTAATGGCGATTGATCATATTCCACCACCAAGGAGAGGGGGAGATTGGAAGAATATGCTCCTTCAAAGAGAAATCCATTGGATCAGAACTCTGGAAACGATAGCACCAAAGGGACTGAATGAGAAATATTCTCTTGCAGTATTTTTATAACAAGATACCCGGTGTTTCAGGCTTCAGTACAATGACTCCAGAACAGTCCTGAATAAACTCATGAGCTCACCCTGCGGGATATGCTTTGAGTGCTTTTTTCAATAATGTAACGAGTGTCCCACTCTTCACCCAGTGAGTTGGAAATTAAGAGGACTGGCCTTTTTTTATGGCTATTTAATTGTGTTGGAGTATAGTATTTCCTTTTATGGGAGCAGGTTGATTGAGGACCGATTTAGAGTATATGAACCTCTCTAGACTTGCGATGGTTGGGACGGAGTGACTTGAGTTTAGGTATAAGGTGGGGACTTCAGAATAACCTGGGAACATTGTACACTATTGGTACAATTTATTGTCTCTATATACTATAACTGGTTCAGGTAAAGGAACAGTAGATATCAGATGGCACTAGGTGCATAAGAGACTTAGTAGATCATTGGGATCTAGTTTGAGACAATATGGTTATGTACATATGTAAATAAGGATATTCAGCTTTTCAGCAATGTGACCAGCTTGATAGTATAATATAGGGTTTTAGATCCTCTTATTACCTAATCTTAAATGGATTTGTGAATATATATACTTATGGTAACGCAGTGTGGCAATTTTCTCTAGCAAGCATCACTATTTGCATTATTTAAGGTACAGTGGGGTTCCCAGAGTGAGTAGCACCTCCTAGGACTTATAAGACTAGGCAGTATGGTTGTTCCCTAGCATCCTAGTATCTGCTTTTAATTTTCAATTTATATTTATCTATGTTTATTGTATTTCTTGTTATTCTGTTTTTCACGGTGGGTGCATAGAACTACACTATGTACATGTTGGAGGCAGACTCCGATGGCTTCGGTCCGTGCCCGCTAAGCCATGGTAGCTTCTGGTTGCCATGGAGATGCCATCTGTATCGCCGGGTACGGAGTCGACGCATGCGTGATTGACGCATGCGCGATGACGTCATCCAAATGCGACCGGCAGTTTTGGCGGGGCAATTGACCGGACGGCTTGTGGAGATGTGCCTTTAACCAGGTGGGGTGAGTACACTGTTTGATTAGTGTTTATTGGTGCAGTATATATGTATACTTGTATTACTGGCTAACCTTGTCCTGATGAAAGTCTGATTGTCCAGACTGAAACGTTGATTTTTAACTTGGAGCATTAAAAGTTAATTTTTATTTGAAGATTAAGTCCGTGGAGTGCTATCTACCTTTATTTCTATATTTTTGCCAGATAAGCACCAGGCAGTGATTCTATTTTACAGTGAGTGCAACACTGCTTGTGTGTGTGTGTGTGTGTGTGTGTGTGTGTGTGTGTGTGTGTATGTGTATATATATATATATATATATATATATATATATATATATATATATATATATATATATATATTTACATGACTTCTTTATTGTAATCTAAACTACTGTATACTATACAGAAATGTTATCACAAGTTTGCCACGTTTTCTTTTTTCAACAATCTTCTTCCTAAGGGGCATGCATCTAAGGCAGTGGTTTCCATATCAGTCCTCAAGGCACACTGACCAGCAGGGCCGCCACCAGCTCAGCTAAAGGTCTGGGCCCCCTGGGGCCGCCTCCAATCACGCCCACAGGGTCCGCCTCCAAATCTCACCCACAGGAATACACACACACACACAAACACACACAATGATACAAAAGGACACAGATACACACACACAGATACATACTAACAGACACACATACCGAAACAGACATTATATTTATATTATATGACCACAATTTAGCTAAATGTGAGGAGGGACTAGTTACTAGCTATTTTCTCTTAGCCAGGATCAGACTATGTTTACTCTTAAATAAAATGGAGAGCGTGTATTAAAAAAAAAAAAGGTTACAAAATTGAAATCTCTTTAGTTTGGATATCGGCAATTCAGAGGGGATATGATAACATTATACAAATATATTCAGGGCCAGTACAAACCATTATCTAGAAATCTATTCATAAACAGGCCTATACATAGGACACAAGGTCACACATTTAGGTTGGAAGAAAGGAGATTTCATCTAAGGCAAAGAAAAGGTTTTTTTTACAGTAAGAGTAATAAGGATATGGAATTCTCTGCCTGAAGAGGTAGCTTTATCAGAATCCATACAGATGTTTAAACTGATTTAGGATAAATACATGCAAAAACATAACATACAGGGATATAGTTTCTAATTAGTGGGGTAATAGCTGCTTGATCCAGGGAAACCATCTGACTGCTATTTTGGTGTCAAGAAGGAATTTTTTCCTTGTTTGTTGCAAAATCGGAAGCGCTACAGACTAGGTTTTTTGCCTTCTTTTGGATCAGCAGCAAAAACATATGAGAGGAAGGCTGAACTTGATGGACGCAAGTCTCTTTTCAGCTATGTAATTACGTAACTATGTAACTATGTAACGATATGTATAGAGGCTTAAATAAGCAGTCCGAGCCTGATTAAAGGTAATAAGACACTTCTCTGGAAATGACGCACATCTAAAAGTTCATACTCTGCCTTCTTTTAATTCTTTTTAAAGATTTAGCAATTGACTTTAGGATTTAGTTCATTCCAGCATAGGATATCTGACAAGGGCCACAGGGGACAAACAGATAGCGTTGAAGGACTCCCTATATTCCAGACACAACCTGGGTACACATTGCATTGGAGGAGTTGAAACAGAAGCATTGTTGCTTGTCGTACAGCTAATTGTAGTGGTTATGGTATGAATAATCTTTAGATATTTTCCCTTTCTGTTTTTTTCAAGCTAATTTGTGAAGAAGCAGGACTCTCCTAACACATACAGTTTTGGCTTGGTAAATGCAGAAATGTAAAATTGCACAAGTTTGTATTCTGCGTACACTGATCAGCCACAAATAGGTGAAGTGAGTAAAATTGATTATATTGTTACAATGACACCTGTCAGGGGGTGCGATATATTAGACAGCAAGTGAACAGTCAGGATTTGATGTGTCTGAAGCAGGAAAAATGAGCAAGCAAAAATATCTTAGTGATTTTGACAAGGAACAAATAATGACAGCTTAATGACTGTGTCAGAAGATCTCCAAAACAGCAAGACTTGTGCGGTGATTCTGCTCTGTAGTGATTTGTACCTACCAAATGTGGTGCAAGGAAGGACAACCAGTGAATAGTGGTGCACCGAACGGTTCGCCGGCGAACAGTTCCTGGCGAACATAGCGTGTTCGCGTCTGCCGCGGATGGCGAACACATACACGGTACGATCAGCCCCCTATTCGTCATCATTGAGTAAACTTTGACCCTGTACCTCACAGTCAGCAGACACATTCCAGCCAATTAGCAGCACACCCTCCCTAGCAGACCCTCCCACCTACTGGACAGCATCCATTTTACATTCATTCTCAAGCTGCATGCTTAGTGAGAGGAGGGAAAGTGTAGCTGCTGTTGATTAGATAGGGAAATGCATAGCTAGGTTAGGGTATGCAGTGTCCACTACAGTCCTGAAGGACTCATCTGATCTCTGCTGTAAGGACAGCACCCCAAAAAGCCCTTTTTAGGGCTAGAACATCAGTCTGCTTTTTTTTTCTGTGTAATGTAATTGCAGTTGCCTGCCTGCCAGCCTGTGTGTCAGGCTCACAGCATATACTGTGCCCACTTGCCCAGT